ATAAAAGATATGTTAAAAAGTACAAACGTTTACATTCAAATTATGCGAAAGACATGACAGGCAGTACCAAAAATACAATTTCCAGCAAATATTGTGCATTCTCTACCACGATCAGAATCATTCAAAAGTCAAACAATCTATAAAAGCACCTCATTCTCTATCATAACAAGCCGTTTGGGATCCCAACTGTATCTTGTGGCTGGTGGACGATAATGAACTGGCCTTGCTTCAGCAAGTACATAATTCTAAAAAATAAAGTGTTGTTTGAAATTGCTCAAAACCACTTACTGAATAGTTTTTACGTGTCGAATGCACTGAGGGGAAAAATGGGACAGAGGAAAGTAACTTATTTTCTGCCTGTGAAAAAATTTCAGCCACTAGCACGAAGAATCTTTACTCAAAATCACGAAAACTTTAAGTAAGCGCGTTAAGCAAAGAGGTCAAGGCTTATTTGAGGAGTGGAACCTTCCAATATCGGTCTTGATAATGCCGCGGTAATCGATGAACGACCGAATTAGGATTGTCCCATATCTCTTTGTTCCTTTTAATTCTATTCGCACGATCCCATGTGACAACCATTCTAGGAAGTCCAGAACCGATAGCAGTCACGTTTTTCGCTAGTGACATTTTAATCTGTAAAATTCGCAAAAGTACAACAAACAAAATTTTAAGCTCTGCAATTTGAAATATTTTTCTTTGTCGGTTCATGTTCTTGTGAAAAAACCAAGCAGAATATAGTAGATGGTATAGTTAACAAGACGTTTCAGACTCGCTTGTAAAAACTACAAATGTTGAGAAAGCAAGGAAAACAAATACTTATGAGAGCCTGAACTTGAATGACCTATATTATAGAACGAAGCTTACGGGGGTCTGTATCAGCTACTTAATCGTTGCTGAAAATGACTTAAAACAGCACCACTGAAGCAATCCCGGAACAGAACAGTTGAATATAAAATCGGTTTAAAATCAGCCCTTTCTTTATGGTACAAATTTCGTGCGATAAGCGGTACTGTGTGCAGAATTTCAGTAACAGAAATATTAGGCTGTAACTAGCAGAGTAAAACTGAAAATTGGCATTTGACCAGTTCCTCAAGAATAAAATCAGCCCCTGTAACACTGCTTGCTGGTCCTTTATCTTTAAGCTTTTGTAGGGGTCAGTTCTTTCCCTTTTTAAATCAACAGTCTTTATACTTCAACATAATTCTTGCGTTAAAAGTTGAACAGGCGTGTTTCATAAGTATTTTCTTTTTAGTGTAATGTTGAAAATTTGTTCGAAAATATGCTACTGTAAATGGGCAGGTCAAAGTTACATTTACGCCATTATTTTTGTACGAAATGTTTCAGAAGAAAACACAATAGAACAGCGTTTGGAGTGTTTGTATTGGGAGTATTATGTCACGCACGGTCGAATTACAAGAGTTTGAGGATGTGAATCTTAAACTTTAAACTGAAGGTACAGCGGAATGGGATTCTAGAGTTTTAATTGAAAGATGCAAATTAGTGGTTTAGGATATCACCTACGGCACTCGTTGGTTGGCGGACGAGAACGAGTAAGAATTCGAAGACTGAAAAAAACCATTACGTTGTAAATTGTTAAGATCCATTGAATCACAGAGGTTAGACGTCAGTTTGTCTGTGTTCCTAATAGTAAAAAAATTTTTTTTCAGCGGGCAGTGCGGATGCATGATAAGTGGGTGCTTTTTAACGATATTGACACAGTGGAGTTTTGATTGAACGGCCAGCTGACTTGAGTTTTGTTTAAGGTGGGACGTGATCTTGAAAAATCTTTGATTTTGCATCTAGTGCGGTAAAAAAGGCGTTTTGTATTGGAAGTTTTCAGTATATGACTGAATA